AAATTTATATATATATATATATATACTAATTTGTTTTATTTTTCTCTCAAAATTTTGAACTTTTTAAATTGGAAAAACTTAAATTTACAGTACTGATCGTCTCGGATTCTCAAACAATCCTCTTCTATAACTTTTATTCTTAATTCTTTTTTTTAAATTAATGTCTTATAAATATTCATTAAAAATAATCCCTTTAAGTGATTTTAGTTATTTTTATTTTTTAAAATTTAGAGAGTCATAGCTCTCTCTGACTTCTCTCAAGTTTGTCCACGGCTGAAGTAATCAAAATCTAACTAAAAATTTCGGTAACTAAATCCAAAAATAATTTTGTTGAATTATTAAAATAATTACGTATAGAAATCTTAAACATGATGATTAATGTCGTAAAAAATTTCCCAAGTAATATACTTATTAATTTATGTTATAGGTACATTCTGTATACAGTGTATATATTTCTATATTGACATATGTAATTGTTTAAGGTACGTATTATATGTATATAAAATTAATAAATGTGATACTAGGATTTGATTTTCTAGTAATCAGTTTGAGTGTTCCACATATATAGCTACTTTAATTATCTAACGACATTATATTTTCAGATTTGTATCTAACAAAATTTTTAGATGCTCAGTAAAACCATCCTTTTCGTGAAGTTAACGTATATAAAATAGTGTGTTGGTTTCCGTATGCTACATTCGTTTATAATATTTTTTTAAATCAAGAATCGCTTGATCGTGAACTGCGTTTAAATTTACGGAAAAATGTTTTTGCGGTGGTGTAACATCACAAAAGTGGCATTCATGAAATTTGCGTTTGACACGCGTGACGATGCGCAAATACGTGAGTCGCATATAAGTAATTTTCCAACGACGTGCTTGTTATATGCAACACTTCATTCTTTCACAGACTATTTATAAGTTTATCTACGAAAACCGGGCTATTAACGCACAATCAATCAATAAAAATTTCTTCTTATTGATAATGAAAGTACATAAAAAGCACATATAAAAAGAAGTGAAAATAAAGCTAGAAAAATTTTTTGTATAGTAGTGTAAACAAGGTTACACAAAAAATTTATGTTTCCTAAACATATATACCTATAGGTATAAATTGTGGTACAATATATTGTTGCTGACTTAATTATCAAAACTTTTTTATTTTCGTGCAGAACAAGGATACAGAGTACAAAAATATCTTGTCATAATTAATAAACAATCTCGCGGAAAACAGGAGATTTAAAAATCAAAGTATAATTTAAAAACTAAAAAATTTCCTTTATTTTTTATACGCGAACTATGATAAATGTTTACTTCTTTACGCATACAATTGTTTAATGCGCTGCTGCGATGACTGTGACAGAGGATCTCGTATTGGGAGCGCCGCGAATATTGATCTTGCCGTTGCGTGATCCTAGAGTTGTTGGTTCATCGCATGCTACCGCGTAACTACCGTTGTCGTTCACTACACTAATGTAATGAAGAATTCCTACACACAGAATATTTAAGATCACTACTGCTTATCACAGGAACCGTATACTTAATGCAATATTAATAGTTTAATTATTAATTATTATAAACGCTAAATTATCTCATAATTAACAATAAGTTTCTTGTTCTTCTCTTATCAGCAGCATATTTTTTCTTAATTTTTTGTATACATTCAATGTTCATGTAAAATCAAATCACAAGTTATATAAACTTTTGTTAATGTTTTCTCACCGTTAGTGACAGACATCGTTAAGGTAGTTGATTGAACTCTGTCTGTGGGATTATTAAACACGATAACTCGCCGAAAGATTGTTTCGTCGGCATATCTTCTTCCAATTTCAATATTTCCGATGAATCCAGTAGCAGCATATGTCTCGGGTAGGAGATTTTTCTATATAAACGTAGCATATATGACACAGATTTTTCTATAATCACACTAAGAGATTTTATTTCTTAAAAGTAATATTCTTCGCGCAATTATCCTTCTTCTACATATATTCTGACAGAGAATACGTGTAATAGAGTATAATAAATATAATATTTATGATCGATTGTTTCACCTTTCGGTTTTACGCGTTAGGTAAGTATGTCTGGCAATTTGCACATTTAACTGGATAATCTTGCTACTGAGGGGAATAACCGTCCTTTATCTTAATATTTTCATACGCATAATACTTAAATTAACTTTTATACAATTATAATTTCTAGATTATCATATGCAGTAAAAATCGATAATAACAACGTTTATAAAGATAAAGATCTAATATATCTATATCATTTTGCTCTATATTACAAAATATTGTTATAAAATGTTATCACAAAATGTTAAAAATAAGAAATAGATTATTTTAGTAAAAGTCCAGATTCTTCAAAGAAACTCATACATAATTAATGTATGCCTTATAGTTTTTCAATAAAGATTAAATTTAATTTTAAGCAATCTCTCTCTCTCCTCTCTCTCTTTCTCTACATATTTTATTCAGGATAGAATTCTATAATTGTGTTATTTACAAGAGTGTTTTATTTGTTTAGAAAAACAACGTGCCATGAAGTACGAAAAATATTTGAAAAATCGAAAATACACTTGTATTAAATATTAGAGTTGCGAAAGTTACTTTATAAAGGTAACTCGTTACTGAGTTATACTTATTAGACATTATTGATTTAAAAAAGAAACTTGTCACCATAATTGTTATAGAAATATTAATAAATTATTACATTTTTCGTTATTTTTTCATCGAATTTTTACAAATTTTTTTTCAAAATGGCATTTAATTATATATGGCTATGTCGCTAATTGTAGACTAGTTTAACATGCGATTTATAAGCATGGTTAATAGAAACATGGTAAAAAAATCGTTTATGTGCATTTTATACATATGTATAATATTGTACATGTACAAAGAATGTACAAAACTATAAAAATAACAATTATTTATATTCGTTATAATTATTCAATTATATTTATTATTCAAAAAGTGTAATTGAATTATCATTAATGAATTATAAATTAAGAAATTTAACATATCCAACTATTATCGAAAAAAATAAGTATAACATAGTAATGACATTAAAAACTCATATAGCATAGGATTTGCAGTAACGTTAGTGCAACATTTGCAACGTTACGATATTGTTGTAATATTGCTGAAATGATCTGTGCTCTATAGAAAGTAACGTGTCACTTTTTAATTTTGTTAAATATAAAGTACACAAGATTAAATATGGAAAAAGACAATTTTGTTGAAATATTTAAAAATTTAGCTATATATAGATATATATCTAAAAATATTTTTGTTTAACCATCAAAATATATGTAATTATCTAGTATAAAAAATTCGTACTAAAGTTGCGTTCCATTGTTTGTATAATGCGCATAAATTATTTTTTTGTTGTTCGCAGAATGTTAAACAGACATAAAATAATACATTGTATATATTATACGTGCAACAGAACGCAGCCATAATGAATAATATGCCGTAAAAAATTTTGATATTTTAACAATCAGCAATGAGCATCCTACATATTTTAATGGTTTAATAAAATTATTTTTACATTTCTCTTTGTCTAGCTAAATTATATATATATACTTTAGCAAAACTATTTTTTTTATAATGATATATTAAATAATTCCATTTTGAAATCTGATGTAATCGATTAAATCGTTTCTGATGTAAATTAACTTTAATTTTGATTTACTTATTACTCATTATTTTCTAATTTTAAGAATTAAAAAAAATAAACTTTCAAATTGAAATTAAAGTTAATCTATGATAAATTAAAATTATATATTAACTCACCAGCGCCGTTTTGGGCACAATATCCTTCTCGGCGAAGTCAATTTGGACATTCTTCGTCTGTGATAGGTCGACGGCAGTAACCGTCTGCAGGAGGCTAAGAATCGCGAGCGCGAGAACAACGATCGGACGTGACATTTCGATACGGTTTGGTCGGATCTCAAGGTGTGTCCGTTTCTTTTATAGGGCAGCTCGAGTGATGCGTCAAGGTGAGCCTGCCTTATCTGCACAGCTCTTTTATGATTTCTCCGCTGCTGGTGGCCCTACCGTGTTTCTTCCCCGCGGAATACAAATAAGAAAAATGCGACCGCGATAGAGGCACGTATGCCGTCCGTCTGGTTCGCAGGGCCATGCGTGGTCGACGAATTCTCGCGGATGACCCTCGAAAAGAGTATCGCCTGTCCAATTGGTATTCGAGACAAGCACTTGACGCCCCCAGGTGCCAGTAATAAAAATTCTTTTTTTATCGGAGTTCTTACTTATGGAAGCTATCTCAGCGTAGCTACAACGAAAATAGCGGAGCTTTCAGACTTTCGATCAGTTCTCTGAACTCGCAAGCTTATTGTTTTTGGGGAGACTTTTTTTTATGACTTTTCATAATTTTTATCATCCGATCGCATTAAGATTGAATAAATATTAGAAAAATATATAAAAAATATAAAAATTTGCATTTATTATTTTTAGATGGGAATAAAAATAATGCGTTATACATCCAGTAATAAATCTAGAATAATAATGTTTTTTAATATTTATATACAATTTATATAATATATGTAATATATATAATAGTATATAATGTAATATGTATAGATTAAAAAATTATATATATATATCTATTATATTAATATATGTATAATATTAATATAATTATAATAAAATAAATGTATAA